ACACACACACACACACTGCAGGGTTAGTCATAGTGCAACTGTCAGAAAAGCCCCTGGGTTGGACAGACATACATGTAGGATGAAACCACTAAAATCCAGACCGTAGGACTGTGCGTGTGCAGCGATCATTCTGAACAAGTACTGTTAGAATAGTAAACCCTGTAAAATATTTAGCTTAACTCATTTGATTTATTTTTTTTAAAATCACATCTTGCATGCACAAGTGTCTCACCCCCTCTGACTGCTTTCTTTTGTCGGTGTTGACATTTGCTACATTCAGTCCATCTATGACCACATCAAAAGCAGGCTTCTTCTTCATAAACAACATGAACTTCTGCAACTCCTGAAAGACAGAGAGACAGACAGAAATGAGACTGATACATTGAGAACAAATAGGTCAGTTCAAGATTTACCTGGATGGTTTACCTGGATATTGTGCCTTATTACACTTGAGTTTAAACTCCATGACATTACTGCTTTTCGCTATTTAACCATAAAGAGTATTTAGTGTGTAGATGTTAATAGAAGCTTCTTAGACAAGCTTTAGAAACTCTTTCTTCCCCTCTGCAATAGGCTCCTGAAACAGTTTGACAGGAGTCACAGTCAATGCTACCGCCTCGTCCACTTACTCCTGTACTTTCGTGTTTACAACTGGCGCTCTTGGCACAAGACTGTCTTTGGCAACATTCCATGGCATGTCCATTATACAACATGCCCATCAGACACTTTTAAAATTAACTGTAATATTGGTTTCTTTTTGATTACTTTTTTACCTAACTGTACATATTATGTATATCTATACATTATAATATCATGGCTTCTTACTATTCTATTATTGGGTAATTTGGTGTTTTTTGTTACCTTATTGTTATTCTATTGTATTTAATGCGTCGGTATTCAATTTGGGGGTGCGACAGCAAAGAAAGAATTTCATTGCACAGAGGAAAACTTGCTTTCTTTTGTTGCATATGACAATAAACATCTTGAACTTGGACTTAGAGACGCATGAGAATTCAACAAGGCTGATAACGGACCAATACAGTGACGAATAAATGATTGTGCACTAGTTGCAAAAAGGGTAGCTGTGCTTTGAGCTAAAAGCTATTATCCGCATTCTAACAGTCAAAGTGACATGAAATCAAGGAAATGTATATATCATTACACACAATATTGTATAAAGAAATGTTTGTTTGTAGTTCCTTCATGCTACACAGGTAGAAAAAAATAATTACATGTATAGAATAAAATAGAAAAATTAATAAAATAAAATAAAACATATACAGTTATGTATATACATATATACATACCCCCAGGATATAATTATGCAGTGGATTTTTTTAATTTGCATCTGGGGGAATGTAAACAGCAGCCAACAATATGGCAAATCTGTCGCTCTTCCTCTCCAATTGGGGCGACAACACCTACTGTGTTTGGTTGGTCCCGCTCATATTGCTGGCTGGATTGTCTCATGGTACACCGCTCTTTACTCCAAGCTTCCTTTTCCCGATGACTGTAGGCTATTTCTGCTATAGGCTGCAGCCCTTTACTGCATGTCATCTACTCCCTCACTCTCCCCACCTTCCCTGTCCATCTTCACCTGTCCTATTCAATAAAGGCATAAAAGCCATAAAAAGGTTTGAAATATTGCCATATTTACTATCTTACATTCGCTAACTAGCACTAAACACAAAGTACAGTACAGGTATTTGGTCATCAGACAAATTAGGAAATTTCAGTTCATGGTGGTGCTATAGGGAAGGCCAGGGAAAGAATGTCTGTTCACATTTTTGATCCAATCCAGTTGGTATGTATTTATTTTAATAAGTAATGGATTTGACCAGCTGGCGGCCCTTGAGTAAAGGTCAGGGGATCCCCAAAGTTAGCAGGTTCATCCTCTGGGGAATGTCCGTACAAAATCTCATGGTAATTCATCCAGTAGGTGTTGACATATTTTAGTCTGGTCCAAAGTGGTAGACTGACTGACTGACTGACTGACACTGCCATGCAGCATGGCTAAAAAGTCTGATATAAACTGCAGAACATCGATGAGAAATGTTGCAGTTCTTTATTTGGGCAAACCAAGGTAAATAATGTGCTCTACTTGTTGCTTTTATAATAGATCTTTTAGTCTTTTATCAGACCAAAAGATCATTAAATTCACAAAAAGTAGGGAAATAATATTATTGAATAAGTAGCAGTAGTCCTCTTACAGACATTTACATATCTGCCTTTCTCAGCACGTGTGTTAATTGCCCATCTAAATTCATTATCTTACTCACTTTACTCTGTTCCATTTTCCAGTCACAGCCAAAATCAGAAATGACTAACATCATAATACATTTGGGCGAGGTGGAAGACTCACTCATTTTCAGTAAAGGTGACTGCCTTAAAACCTAACAATTTGAATATCAACTAGGTATCTGACTAAATATGAGCAGTCATGAAAATGTACACAAAAAGTCTGCAGAGCTCTCTAATAACATCAGGGACTTGTTCCCTATTGTGGTCGAGGAGCGTAACTGAACTCCACCTGTGAGTTGACTGGCCTGATGGTTGGTTGGTTGTCTCGCTGACTGATCACAGACTGTAACTGTTAGACTGCCAGTAACACATTTACCTGGCCTTTCCTTCTCGTTACGGAGATGGCAGCGTGCCAACTGGCCGCTCAACTGACGATAGAGTACTCTGCGTTATGATACAGTTTAATGGTTTAAAAATGTACACACTGCAGACAGTGGGCATCTGTTAACTGTCTGTACTGTCTTGCATGTACATTTGTTCAAACATTATTTTCACAGTCCAATACTCATACTTGGCTAATATACAGTATGTAAGTAAAATGTATCATTTTGAGAGACAGCTGTAGGTATTCAGTGTCTGTCTTGAAGTTGTATAACTACAGCACCAGCAATAGCCAAGTTACAATGTGAGGAATATTTCTGTGTCATCTGTTCAGTATGAACCCCACAACTTTTCTTTTGCATTGTAGGGAACGAGTACACCTTCATCATAGTCTAGTCGATCTGTAAAATACTGCGTTACTGCCATGTGCCTTAACATGAAGGTAGTGCAGAAGCTTAGAAAAGGCCTCGAGCACGTGAACATTGTTAATGCTTTCACTTTTAGATAGCAGCAATATGGAAATAGGTTGCTGTGAATTCCCCTGGACTTGAAACTTGACTGTGTGCACGCGGTCATGAATGTACAATCAAAATCTGATCGTAAAAATGGTTGTAATATTCCTCCTCTGATGGAACTGTGCTCTAGATAAAACGCCTGCAGGGCCCCACTGATGCTCCAGTATCTCTTTTGATTGCCTTAATTCACCAAACACACACGTACAGTGTGGCACAATACTTGATTCTACAACATTGTGTAGTTTTCACATTGGAGGCTGGTTTTGGTTGAAGCAGGAGAGATGTGTGTTTTGGGTCGGAGACAAAATGAATAAGAGAAAAAGGACAGAAGCAAGTGTGGAGGTGAAGAGAGTGTTTGATTATAATGGAGAAAGGGTAAAAAATAATTAAAAAAAGATAAAATTGGCAAAGAAAAAAGAAAGAGAGAATAAGAGGAGGAGACGGAGGAAGAGAGAGAGACGGAGAGTCCAGTATAATTATCCCGGGACTTTCCAGAGCTGATATGTGAAACCAGCTCATTGTGCTGCTGTGGATAATATGACTGCTTAAAACACACACACACACACACACACTTGCACCTGCATGCGTAAGCTTACACAACAGCATTACCAAAGATGTACAAAATCAAAATGCAAAAAAAAACTGAATGCAGGATACAGACTATAATTACATCTATCAACTTTAATTCAAAGTCTTTAAACTGGGAACTTTCTGTTGAGTTTCTGTTTTTTTATATTTGGGACTCCATATTTAAGTAAGCAGTTATGCTACAAGTAGTGTTTGACAAAAATGTGACTAAAACTATACCTGTAAATATCCACACCAACTCCATCAAACCTAACGGTGTCCAGTTCTCGTCCTTTCTGTCCACCTCTTCAGCCGTCACTAATCAATGGCCCCAAAAAAGAAGAATACAATGAAATTCTTGGGCTTTTACCTAGGTCACCGAATACTTCAGGTTCATGAATAACCACAACAATGTGATGGTGGCATAGGGTTTGTCTGCCATCAGCTGTATCAATCGTGACTGTGAAAACGAAATTGTTACTGAGAAAGGTGGTATGTCATTTGATGGCAGATTAACGTCTCTTACGATGGCAATGAGCCGACTTGGCGCAAGCACTTGAGCTGTCCAGACACTCCTGATTGAGCCAATGATAAAATACCACAAAAACTTTAGGTACTCATAACCAAACACCTTGAGATGGGCCTCAGAAAAGCATGGTGTCCTGCTGGCTTTCCCCTTCCACGCAATGCTATGTGCTGGGCCAGCTGTTAATGTGACGTACCTCCCATCCATGTCTTTTTTGCCCCTCTCCTTTATTTCATTATCGTGGGTTATTTCTGCCTCTTGGCTTTTGAAAAATGTACGGAAAGACGAACAATGCGGAACTCAGGCCAGCTATCAGTAAATCATCTGCTGGGGAAATGGATCAAAAAGTTAGTCACCCATTTAGGTTTTAACGGGCTCATTTTGATAATATACCCACTGTGGCATTTTTTTTAACCATTTTAGTTATACCAGGCAAAATCTTCCGCCAATCAAAAATATGATCATAAAACTTCTAATTTTGTCCAGTGCTTTTTCCTCCTTTTTTCCATTTTGACATTCGCTAAAAAACATGTTAACATTGATGTGGGAGGTAGGCAGCTCTTTCTCGCAGTACCAAGCAGAAAACAACAGGCAGTTATTAACTTTAATACGGCCCTGTGAATAAACATTATATAGTTGTTTAATTCGGCCATTAATCTTATTCGCTAACCAGTTCTTATGTTGGGGGCCCGGTTCCAGAAGTCATCTAAACCATCTCTAAGCAGTCTCAGCCTTCAATCCAATAAGGGACCTGTTCTAAGCTAAGGAGGTGGAGAGGGTGTCTGCGCTCCCTCGAACCACAACTGGAAGCCTGTTCGCCAGGAGAGAGCGGGTGGGAACCTGAGGCGGCTCTGGTCTGTTCTACGTTGAGACGCTATAGAAACGCACAAGTGCCCTGCATTGCAGAGAAGCTACCAGGTGTTCTAAGAGGGGGGGGTAATAAGGTGTATGAGCTCTAAGTTATCAGCAGTGCTTGACAATGATGAGATTTACAGTATTCTTACAATTATATTAAACATTTTACAGGGAAGCCCCAGGGAGAAGGAAGCTAATAGCAGGAGAAATAAATCATTATTCTAGTTCGCTTCTGTAGATCGCTGGCAGCTTTTCATCCAAGTGAGAAGACTTAAGGGACTCATTGAGGCCCCTGATAATAAGGAATTTCAGTAAATCCAGCAACGACGTACCAGCTGGAAATTCTTCTGCATCTTTGTAGACAGGAGGTGGGCTGG